TTTGCTAAGACGTTTTGTATATTTGTAGTGATATAGCCTCTTCATCTTACTGTCTTTATCAGTTCATATCTATCTAATCAAAAAAGGCCTTAGTGGGATCCTCGTACTCTACTGCTACCGCAATTTGGAGCGGTGTCCTTGAATGTCCCGTGCTAGGTCCTATTTTATGTTTGATATCCCCTTCGTTGTTGCACTGTTGTTTTTCATTACCGTTTCTGTATTATTTTATTAACCTTACGGCCGTTATCATTTCTTATCCTATAACATTACAAGACTTCGTATTTTTAGTAACCTTGGTGATAGTTAATGCCGTAGCAGTACTTCTACGAGCAACTCGGCACTCTATTAGTGAAATTCATACCAGTAATATTATAAATATTGCCTCCCCCGCCACTACTGCTACTACGATAAGTGATGCTGCTCCCACCCCCGGCGTCACCTCTGCCATCCGGACGGACATCGTGGGACGTCTACCCTGTTTGCTGCATGGTATCAATGATCGTCTGATGGGCCTCCGCCTGCCCCTATTGACTGGCAATTTCGCATTGTCGCAAGCACCTACGCCTACGCGATATCAGCTCCGAGGAGACAAAGAACAAGTTCTACGAGGACGTGCATGCCCCCTGTCGACTGTGCCAAAGGTGGACAAGTTGATTGTCCCTTGTGACTTCAACGCTCGCTTAAGCACAGACCACCTTGCCTGGAGAATAGTGCTGGGTCCGCACGCTCTCCACGGTTTCAGTGACAATGGTCTGCTCCTCCTTCGAACTTGCGCAGAGCACGGCTTTATCCTGACCAACCCCCTATTTCCGCCTTCGGCTGCGGCACAAGGTGACCTGGATGCATCTCCGATCTCAGCACTGGCACCTCGTCGACTATATCTTCATCCGATGGCGTGACCAGCAAGACGTGCTGGTGTCAAGGCGATGCCAAGAGCCGACGGCTGAATCGATCACCGTATCGTCCTCTCCAAGATGAGGGTTCATCTTCAGTCACGCAGTAGACCCCAAGGTAAGCAACCCCCAGGTATGTGAAATACTGTTTTGTTAAACGTGCCTGCTAACTATTTGCATTTCTGCAACGAGCAGGCTGAACGGTTAGATAATCTTCCAGTCACAGAGGTGAACGCCTCCATGGAGAACCGTTAGTGTAAACTACGGGATACTGTTCAATCCATCGCCCAACGCGTCTTTGGCCGAGCACGCCGCAAACACCAGAATTTGTTCGACGAAAACGATGCAGTCATCAGCAATCTGCTTGTAAAGAAGAACCGCCTGCACAAAGCCTACACTAACCGCCCTACCGACGCCACGAAAGCAGCCTTCTACTAAAGTCGCCGTCTCTTGTAACAGCGGTTGAGGGGAATTTTTGATGCTTGGGTTGCTCACAAGGGCGAAGAATTCCAAGATTAAGCCGATCGTAATAAATGGAAAAGCTTCTTCGCTGCGATCAGGGCTGTCTACGGTCCCATCATCAAAGGCACAGCTCCTCTGCTCAGCGCTGATGGATCCACCCTACCCATTGAGAATGCTCAGATTCTGAAACGCTGGACTGAGCACTTCCAATGCATACTCAACCGTCCTTACATCATCTTCGAAGCTGCCCCTAACCATCTGCCTCAGGTGAAAATCAACGCAGATTTCGACTTCGTACCTACCCCCCAGGAAATCATCAAGGCTGTGCAGCAATTTTCCAACGGGAAATCAACCGGTTTCGATGCGACCCCTGAGGATATTGACAAATATGGCGGCCACCAACTTACCTCTCACCTAATTACGCTGTTTCAGGAGCTGTGACGACAAGGTAAAGTCTCCCCTGGGCCTTCAGGGACCCCGCAATTGTTCACCCCTACAAGCGAAAGGGAACTGTCAACTCTGTGCTAATTATTGTGGAATTTTGCTGCTCAACATCTCCGGCAAAATCTTTGCTCGTGTTCTCCTGAACCATCT